TTACAACGAAACATCCTTTAAATAATCCGGGACATGTCTTTATTTGAAGAAATGTGATTGTAAGATATCTACAAACAAATGTCATTGCACTATCTACATAAAAACATGTGTGTAGAATACAAGAATGTGAAGCGGATAATTAAGAAGTACGAAGAAGTTGAAATATATTTTTTTTTCTATAGTTCTTAATAAACGACGCTACATTTATCTGCAAATGATGTCATTGATAACAAAAACATGCAAAGAAACTATAAAGCGACCAGTATCTAGACACGACACGCTGATAAACTTTGGATTCTTGGAAAAACAAACGCTACCAAGAGTTTTAATATAATTTATTTTATTAGGTAGCTGAATAAAACTGTGCAAAGATAATTGAAGAATATTTTTATTATCCTCTGAAACACCTTCACTCAATTGACATTTTAAATTAGGACCTAGGTGATTTTGTGTCTTTTTATAAAATTTTGACGACAAGAGAATTTTGTCATTGCTTAACATCTTTGTAAAATTTAAACTTATAAGACTTCACTTGAACCACTGCATGACCAATAAACGAATAGAAATTAATCGTTAACATTATAAATATTTAAAATGTACACGAATCGGACCTCTCACGTTTAATCCAAGCAAAGAGCGAGAGGCACAATTTCTTAACTTTGTCGCAATGAATGACAACTCAATGTCGATTGCCGATACTCGAGACACTCCAATAAAACATGTAAGTTTATCTTTCATGACTATCACAAGCATTTTGAAATACAGATAATAAACGATTAGAATTAGTCATTTTAGAAGTTAGAAAATAAAAATGTAATGCTTCTAATTGCTATACTTCTTTTAAAAAAATTGTTCCCCATGATTAGAGGAAAAGTAAGATACAGCGGGACTTATGCCGTGTTTTTATTTGGTTAAGGTATTGCAGGGTCGAGAGTTGTACCCAGGAGTTCTACAATCTTTACACTCATCTGTTCCCGACCGATTACGACCAACGTTACTTGCGCTACCGTACTCACGCATCAACTTGCTTATAAAATATAATGTAATCATTTAATATTTCTGTTGCATAAGTATTCATATATGGCTATAAATAAAATATTGTCTAAAAAAGCTAAAACAGTTATAGGCCATTCCGAAACAACCCTCCCAAATAGGATGTCTTCCGTTCTCTACATACCCCGATCGAACTCCGACCCAATCTAATTATAGTCCCCAAAACCCTCTCAAGTATAGGACAAAAATACCACAGCCGCGGTAAAAATAACTCTCTCGGTGATTAATTATGAGATACGTCCGCCAGCAGACGATTAAATAAATCAAGTTTATATGAAAGTGAAACGTGCTATCACATCACAGTTAAAACTATCATAAATATAATAGACGGTTCCGGTAACCTCCAAAAATATGTCAATGTTAATCGGCCATTACGTGTTGTTTTACAATTCAATTGAATTTTAATAGCAACATTAAACAATGCAGGTCTAATTATTAAATAAGAAATATAATAAGATGTGTCATTACCATACCCACGAAATTTTACTTTTTAATATTTGATGTATGCGTCGTGGCTTATCTTACAAAAAAAAAATATTAGTAAATTTTCTGATACTATCTAACTAAAACACTATTTTCTAACCGTTTACCTTTTTTATTGATATTAAATCTATAAATAGACAAAAAATTGGTGACCTCATGTGAACAATAAACATAGTTTCGAATACAAGGGCTTCGAAATTGTAAACCGTCTATTTCGGTGCGCGTACGCCGCTAATTAGTACATCCGCCGGCGCCTGTATTATACCTTGGCTTGAACAGGAGATCATTCCTCTATCTAGATAACAGAGAACATTCCGAACAAACATTATTATTTTAAAGCAAACCTTTCTATTTATGAAACAGGTCGTTTTAAATAAGACATGAATATGTTTCACAAAGCTAAATCGAACTAACAGTACACAAATGAAATGGTGGCGTTATAAGTAGTCGCTTGTCAGTTGTCACTGGATGATTAATGACATACTATAGAGTATAGATAATACAGGTGGTTATCATCACGGTACACTTAATGTACGGCAAAAAATTTACAGTTTCAACACCGCAAAAGGTAGTTGCAAATATTTCTGCATAATATACATTTTCGAGAACAATTTTGTTAGAATACTCTTCGTAGCATTTTTAGCAATAAATAATCCAGTCTCTCTTATTTTTATAAGACAAATAAGAATTAAACAAGTTAACGCAATACTATCCAGCCATTACGAAATCGCTCCATATACAATTAGCACAATGACCATTTTAAAGCTAAAAATGAAGAAAGGTTAATTATAAATATATTCTTGGAAGAGAGACATACATAAGAAAGGGGGAGGTACCTATTAGAAGAAAAAAATAAAATTCTGCTAATACCTAAGTTATAATTAATACAATGCAATGCATATCGCTGTAACTATCAGATCGTTGGTTTGGTGGAGTCTGAAATAATTTAGAATCCAAACTGATCATATTTTTTAATGATTTAAAATCTGGGCACAAAATGGGTGTTACGAAATATCAAAATATCCGTCTGGGTAAAGTCAAGACTAAGCTTGGGACTTCCTCCGTCTTTAAAAATGGTACTAAATAGTACGTACACTAAGTATAACAGAATCAGTACTGCATTCGTACATCCACATTATTCACGATAAATACACGATACAAAGCACTCTTATCGCAATCTCCTTAATGCTGCTCCTTTGTTATCTAACGTTGCTCTTTGTAACTGCTAATTACTCGCGAACAAAATGTGGCCATACATCGAAATACCACCTCAAAGTCAAGTCTGGGTAATGTGACTCTCGTAGAGTTGATAAAGATCTAGAGAATTTCAGTACTTTGGAACTTGAAGAATTTGAAGAATATGTTTTTATTGATTTTGTTACTAAATTTCACCTTCCCCGACCCTTCTACACAGATTAGATCAGCAATTAGATTTTGACGTCGAAACATCGAAAACCAATTTAAAACTCAACCGGAAAAAAATGAATAATTGCACATCTAATGATATAATCGATTAGAGGAAACGTTACTCAAGCAAAATTAGCATAACTACCGCAAATAAGAGAATAACCAGTTCTAATGCCCTGACTTTTATTGCTTCGACGTAATTAATTTTAGCAATTACACTGACCTTCGCCAGATACGAAGCCAAATGTGTCAGTTGTGAAACGTTTCGACTGCGATTAAACAGATATACAAACAATGCATTAAAATTAATACATCTGACGCATTCGTTGGACTATTATTAATAATAGATTAAAACAACAATACTGGTCACTGATAAGCCACGTATTCTAGACCGTGATGTGTAAAAATAGACCATGAACATGTCGAAAGTGTCATCAGTACAAAAAATAATGTAGATATACATTGATTGTTGATTAGCAGTTATTATTGCATTGAATTTGATTTCCTAGATGAGCAAAAAGCGTTGCCTTGTGAACATCGAATCAAAGAAACGCATCATCTAACAAATAACGGGTCGTGACTGAGTAGACTCTAATATGTAAAACAGTGCATAAATCCCGTTCGGCGATTTAATGATTCTGTTGTAACGTCACGCGCCATTTGTATGGGCCCGTTCGAATAAACATACATAAATACAGTGATAGAAAGAGAAACCTCGTATTCCACGAACTAGAATGTTCTATACTATAAGGGGACGTTGAATTATGGATAAGGCGAGGGTAGGTACGTCAAGTTATTAAAGCCTGCGTTATATAATATTCTATTGAGCTTCCGAGGTATCGTGGAAAACTTTTCTCTCGTAAACTTCGTGGTTTCAAATATCATTCATATTTAAGCGTCCAATTTGAGTTATACGAAGCGCGGGCTCCATTATTATTTCTTTTATAGATAGAGGAGAACAGACAATTGATGGTAGGTGAAATAGCCCAGCCTATAGCATGTATATAAGATGCACCGTAGATCAATTTTGACTTTGGATAGTCGGGAATCTACTGACTGAAACCGAAACGTTCACAAAAGGAATCAATGATACAAACGCAAATCATTCTCGAACTGTTGGAATATATTTTTATTGCAGAAACATAATATTAATAAACTCCACTTTAATATAGTATGAAGAAATTCTAATAAGAAAATATTTAATATGCGCGCAAGAGTGCACAATAATTACTGAGAGTGATATTCATAAACAATGCAATATAAAGCAACAAAAGCTTTAAAAATAATATTCAACATAAAGAGTTTATATTTCGGGGTCAGCATTTTAATGAGTTTGCTATGATCTACTTTCTGACAGGCTCATTTCACAAATAATGAGAATCAATTTATTTTCTGGAACGAGATTACTGCATAGTTTTCTTGAATTCTTAGAAATCTCCTATCCTAGAAAAGACAAATTTGTCATTCGTCAACATCAAAGTTTGACACTTGACGAAAAATTGCCTTTTCAATTCAATGATAAACGAAACGCGAAATCGGACACTAACGAATCACGTACATTAACAAAAAGCTGCCTGGAATTAATTAATTATAGCGGCGAAAATATAACATTCAATGAACATGTTGCTACCCGAAAAAGCATAAGGGCTTGCGAATGAATTGGTCTTTTGAGAATTGTTATAAAACCAGTTTTTTGCATTACCTCGGAGATTCTCGCATACAAATACAAGCAACATGTTCCTATAGCTTTTTATGATCTTAACGCATTGAAACGAGTATTGCAAAATACTTCATTTATCTGAATAGGACGTCGATAAGAGCAATATCAGTGAGCAATAAGGAGAAACATTTGATAAATTAGACGTCGCCAAGGCCATTAACGATGTAACAACGTCGATAAGTTTCAACTAATACAAATTATAATGGTGACAAAATTTTATTGCCGCGTATCCGAATACGGGTCTGACTCTAGTAACCTCTATAATTGAACGAGATGACATCACGACACCGAAACAAGGCAAATTAACTATTTCACAATTCGAAATTTTTAAACTGACCTTTCTTAGCTTGCTTTTCGCGCTCTCTTTCCTTTTCTCTCGCTTTCTTCTCTCTCTTCTCGCGCTCCTGTTTCTCCTTCTCCAATTTCTTCATCTCCTTCTTCATTTCTTTCTCGCTTTTCTTCGACTTCGTGTCGTCGATTTTCTCGGACAGAATAAATGCCCCCGTCTGCAGTTTAGTATCCACCTCCTCCTTAGGCCTCATCTTGAGTCACGAACACCAAACTCACACAAAAATAATGTAATTTAGGATGCGGAATCCCGTATAAATTCACTTTCGATATAATCTGGCTAGGTCTCCGTGAAAAATTCTCATTCGGCACAAATCGTCAGCGGACTGATACTTTATCGTTTACGTGGAGCAGCCGGCCGCGATTGGCGGAACGATATCGAAATAATCACTGACACCTTCGTGTTCGGACGTGCGAACCGCGACTCAACGGTTCAGCGTTCGCGCAGTTGACACAACACCATCTGTAGCGAAGCCGCGGCGAGCACTGAGCGCCGAATTCTGCCAGCCACACTCCGCCGCGAACGCGCTGCGCAAGCGACGCGTGCGAGCGTCAAACTTCTAAAAATAAAGATACACTTCCTACATTTTATGGAATCAGAAGACGATTTATGGCCATTGAACCCGTGAAGCTTTTTGCATCAGTGTGACTAAGCTCAGGTTAGCATACAGTCCTTTACGCACAGTAATTCCACGTTTCGATGCCAAGGTCAAATCGTGATGGCGACTTTATTAGCGCCTGAACGAGGTCGATTATAATGTTCCAGGAAGCTATTCGATAACAGTTTTTCTAATTCAAAGTTTAAAATGTGTTATAACACGAACTTTAAGACTTAGAACATCACTTGCAGATTTATTTAAGATTCGGTGAGCAAAGCAATCTGGTAATGATGAAATGAAACAAAAAGTTGTTTTGGAAAGTTGAGCGGCTACTTCACACAAAAAGAAAAACACGACAAGCACTCCGGCAGCCTGGGAAACGGAGCCTGCGAGACTCGAATCGAGACGAATCGACGTTTAGCAGATAAAACACTATCATTCGATTTAATTTCGTTTACATATCGTTATATTTATCTTTTTAAACACACGATAAACAGTATCATATGCATTTTATGATGATAATGTACTACTAAATAAACATATTATTAAAATACTCGGACAATATATTTTTTAATGATTTAAAATGATTCCCTTGTCGTCAGCAGTTAAACTTAGATATATAAGAGCCGCCTATATTCATAAAGTCTAGCCTCGCGAAGAAAACCCTAACAGCTCCGAGCAGTTTTAAATGTCTGTGCAAACAATGCCACGCTCGTGTCAAGTTTGTTCACCCAGCACCGCAGTATCGTCAGAGCACAAAAAGCTATATTTCCCAGGGGGCAGTGGAGCATAAAGCGCGACGCTCCGCCGACTTGCGGTCGCGGTTGCACTGCACTATGACTGATCTTTGAAATTGACATAGGATAGGCGGTTTGAGAAGGCGCTACAACGACGCGGAAACTAAGATCGGCTTGCTTAAAGATTAAAAGCAATAGCCTAAGCAGAAATACCTTTAATTAAACTACCCAAGCTATAATAGGAGAGTAGAAATGTCTTTACTCGTAATAAAACACTGAATTCCTTCACAAATACATCAAAACGCATTTCTTTATTATATTTGCTTTTTTTAATTCTTCTTATGCTTAAAGATCTATATGCGTTACCTCGGTTGCGTAAAGAAAACGGTCAACGATTTGGTCCGGGAAACTGATTAATTTTTGGGTTCTGGTAGCCAATTGCATGAAAAAAAAAAATTTACCCAAAAAAAAACCCCGGGCAAAAAAAAAATTTTGGGGGGGGGGGCCCCCCAAAAGGAGGTTCCCCGTATTTAAACTTAATAGATCTATATAAAAGAATTGGTTACGCGATATTCAACATTTTAAAGTTTTATCTTAACTACAGCCTGATGTGTAGGATGTTTTGGTTCTGCTCAAAATTCGATTAAATTAAAAATAAGTTAACGAATATATTTCGAGCTTAAAACAATTAAAATATTTTGTTTAAAAATATACGTTGACACCAAAGTGATTCCTTGATAAAACGATAGAGCAAAGGTCAAAAATACGAAGATTAGCTTCTTAGACAATTATTAACACACTCAACTTAGTTGCACATAATAATCTTACGTAACGAATAACCATCAATATAATGTATGAAGTGTACGAAAAGGTGAAAGGAAGGTTTTGTAAAGCTTAATCGATTACGGAAATTGCGCTCGAGATAAGCTCTGAGGCAATAAAAGAGTTTTATTTAAGTGTTCACTTTAAGTATAAAAAAATAATTGGCTTTAGTACTCTTAGACAGGTAATATGTTATTACTAAAACATTAAGTGTAACATGTGGTGTTAATAAACGGGTCGTGGGTTCGAACCCTAACGGGTCCTACATGTTTCTAAGGAATCTTTTGTTTAAAGATTCCTTTATTAAATGAATTATAGGAGTACAGACAAATATGAGGATGTTTTCATGACTTTGTCTTCTACTATCCCCAGCTTGTGGTATATTATATGTCTTTGATCCAACGATTGAAGATCTACCGCTTCGTCGTTCATACGTAAAGGACAGTCTAGTCTAGGACTCTTCTGCTCTATCTATCGTCTTTGACTATCTAATGCTCTTTTAGTCAACATCTCATCTCATCAGTCTAAATCTTAATGTTAAAAAATCTATTTGCATGACTTACAATTAACAAAAGCTAAGAGCAATAACTTAGACCTCTGTAAGAGGTCGCGTACAGATGTCGCTTAATTAAAAGGCATTTGAAGGAAGAACAACAAATGTCCGTCTTTAAAAGGTGTAGATAATATAGGTAAGTGATCTTAAGCTTTTGACACACTAATTAAACTAATATGTAACTGGCCGTTAGTACTACCGTAGAAGGAAACAGCTGTGACTTATGGTCATTTATAGTTCTCGTGCGGCACTTCCCGTCGATGCAGGAACTGCGCGCAGTAGATTTATTGCGCGCATTGAAAATAGAAAGTTTATAATGCCATAGACACTATGTGAGGAGGTTATGGTTAATTAAGTGTTATTTAATTGTTAGAGCAAAAGACTGATTACAAATTACCTAGCTTTAAAATCCTATGTTTTTTTATTTAAATAAAGTTTATACTTACATAAATAAACATCGGGCATGGGGATACGTTTCCGTGTCCATTACACTGATAATTTTTTATCAAGCTGCAAGGAGTTGCTCAGACTTCTGTGCCCTGCCCGAAACCGAAGTAATAGTTTATTCGGGATTCGAACCTCCTCTGTTGCGGTTTATGCAATTCTAGGTAACTTATTTAGTAAATAATCTGTATATGGATGCGATGTATATATTTACAGCCTTAGGAAAAATTAAACTTTGCTATTACTTAGCAGAAGGCGATAATATTTAAGTTTTAAGTGATTTCCTTTTTGTAATTATACTAGACTATAACCTATTTAATGTAAAAAGCAAGTATCACATATATAATAAATAAATATATATCACGACAGTGGTATTGTTTTTTTTATATTCGTTACTTCGTTAAATCCGTTTGAAACAAGAACATTTTATTCTCTTATCAATTCACACACAAGTTTCTGTCCTAATAAAACCGACGCTTGCGTTTAATTAAACAAGCACAATTAAGTAGGCATTTATTAAACACACCGCTTTCATGTACTTGTACGGTTACTTGTGATATCAATCTGATAAATTTAAACTTGCTCATTTCCTTTGTGCATATGTAAGTGCAGCAATGTATTTTAATTATAATGTGAAAGTTACTTCGTGGGATAATTATGACACTTGATTAATTGAAAAGTGAAAAGATTTTAACATGATGGAAACGTTTAAAATATTTATTTATACCAGAATTAAAACAGCGATAAAGTAAACTTTTTGATATAATTATATACCTAAATACTTTCATATCAGCAGGCCATACAATTTAACAAATTCATTTTATTAGGACACGGTAGCTCAATTGGTTTGAGCAACAGCACGGAACGCTGTGGATGGTCAAGCCCTGCCCGTTTCGTAAATTTTTTATTAATCTATAATCGATATTTTAATTAATTTTCTCCCAAATTTAAGAAAATAACAACTTAAAAAAAGTATTTTTTTCTATTCAATTCGTATATATGTATTTGCTTTTTAATGTTTGTCTCGATATAATTTAGGTGAACTGATTTTTCCTTTTTTGTGTTGGACAGTGTAATAGATGTTTCGAATTATAGCATAAAAATACCAACGAAATCACGTCTATTTAACTCAAAATAATACACTAACTTAGTGCGAGGTAATTATTTTTTCTTTTAAGATTATTATTTGAAGTCGGTTATTTTTTGTAAGTTTAGATAACTCTTGATAATTATGTTAAAATAAAATAGAAAAGTACGATTTTATTGTTTAACAAGTCACGCAAGAACTCATAAGCAAAGTCGGGGCAACATGAGTATGATCTTTATTCGCCTCACATTGAACTTTGCCAAGATGTATTTAAAAGTAAAAGTTAAGTACTAAAGACAGAGGCGCTAATGCAATTCCATGTACGTTTGTGTATGTATGTTTCTTACAACCTACTAACTAAAGGGGATAAACGAAATCTCTCGGTCTCAGCAAACACAGGTGTTCGGAACACAAGATTTATTTTATTAAAGCGTCAAGAATTTTGCACAGTAATGTTTGCGTAAGTGGCTATTCATACGACGAGACGATAAACGAGTATTCAACTGTAGCGCGTTTCAGGAAAATTCATTTACGATTGCACAAGTGTTCTGAGTATGAATATAACGTGGAAAGTAATAAACATGCAAGACACGAAGAATTATTTTAAACTTGGAATGATGTGTGTGCCTCGACTCATATATGAGGCTGACAGATCCAGAGAGGCCTAATATGTAGCAAAAAACATAATTTTCACTAAAGAGGATAATAAATATGCGCATGAAACTTAGGCGAAAATGAATTTGTACTATTATTAGTGTTGAAATTTTGTTAACAATTTTCGGTCACTGTGCTGTACTACTGTAACACTTTAAGATTATAAAAATAAGTCAAGTCATAAAATTTGGAGTTAGGCTACTTTGGCTCTAGCAGCCATGGAGAAATTGTTTATATCTGAAAAATCGGCTCTGCTAAAAGTTAGGAAGACAAGCATGAAGTTCACGTGGTGGTAGATACCTCAGCCTATAGCATCTAAACAAGATGCACTGTGGCTTTGGATATTCGGAAATGCACAGACTGAAACCGAAACGCGATTGAAATCTCGCCTTTGCTATCTGTAGACAATGGTTCCAGAATTCCAGACAAACTCAAACATGTTTCAGAAAAATCATAAATTGTTTAAAAAATGTTGGACCCGGTGGGCATCGCGAACCCACGACCTGTTTGCTTACCAGCCGTACATTGTTACCATTACACCAACATCAGCCGATCGATTTTTAAACTATGTTTATAAAATGCTGCTGTCATTTGAAATACTCGTAAAAGCTAATAATCGAATTAAAATGTTCTCAAAATACATCATCCGAGGATTGTAAAAGACGAATCTTTAAGAACCTAGCAAACAATGGAGCAGTACTCACTGGTACATACAAAACAGTTCTTAAAGCAGTTCTCATGCGAACGCTCTCGTGCGTCTCACAGACATTTTGTCTGAAGATGACCCTTGTCTTGGGCGTCAAGGCGCACGGTTTATTTGCAAGTCAAATAGACTATTATGCTGCCGTGTCATTAAATAAGTGGTAGGCATACAAGGATTCGTAATGCTGTATTGTACATTTGCGGCTAAATATAGTTTTATTAATGTTTTTCTCAGGTGTAAAGATACAAGTTGTATACTCACCTTTAACCTTCCACTACAGAGTTACAGTTTGGGTGTTTGTTTTTTTTTTATGGGGATTTTTTTCCTTTTCCTCACCCCTTTTTTTTTATAACTTACTTTTAGGTAAACCGTTTTTTACCGACCTTAATGCGCAAATGTTAAGGTTGAAATTACAATGCGCGAATAGTGCAAGCATCAATAAGTTGAAAAAAAATCGACTATGACGTGTAGGGTAGCTCGATTGGTTAGAGCAACAGCACGGAATGCTGTGGATGCTGGTTCAAGTACTACCCGTATCGTATTTTTTTTATTTAATTTAAACACATTTAGCTTCAATAATAAACTGTATGGTACAACCGATCGGCAATCGCGTGCAGACCACGAAATGAAAAGGTAATTTTCGGGCAATGTGCATATTAACTTCCATAGATTTTTAGAGCCGGTTTTACCACCTAAAGCCACTCTAAGGTATAATTATCATCAGCGCCCGTCAGACTGTATACGGCCACTTCCGGGAAGCAGGTCGGCGATCCCGGAACATTCAGCTAACACAATCGCAGCGGATATCGCTAATGTACAAATTGGTAAACGTCGATAGGGGGAATGTCGGTCAAATTTGG